TGTACGGTCCTTTAGTACTTTTCTTTCAATAGTACTCACTACATTTAGTGGGGAATATTGTACTTTATGCTCCACTACATTTAGGACCTTTTGGCAATGTACAGTATTATTGTAAATACACAACCATGCCGGCTGGTTGTGATTCTCCATTTGTCCACCAGATGACACAAACTGCTTATTTTAGCACTAAACAGCAGCATTGGTGTAAGTTTGTCCAGTTTACATCAAAAACTCTAACAGAGGACAGAATTAGCTTCTGGCAACAGTTTAAGGTGAAAAAACTGACCTATTTATTTGATTTTGTACCAAATTGAAACCTTTCCACTTTCCATTCGTGTAAAATAGACCAGAGAAGAGTGAAAAGTCACATTAGAGTCACTGAATGCAGGTGAATGATCTTTATTCCACCAGGACCACCACCATGTGGACTCACCACCCGCAGCCAAGGTCATCAGGGAGCGGAGCTGTGACAGGAGGTAAAGGCAGGAGCCTGGACTGTATCCTCTCTGGCCTCGGGATCCCACAGGAGGAGCTGGAAAGTGTGGCTGTGGAAAGAGGGATGTCTGGAATACTCTGTGACCTGAGCTCTGATACATGGAAGACAATGGATGGATGGATTTTTACTTTTAAATTTTGATTCTCAATGTATATCCCCACATAAAATCAGAATGAAATGAAAACCAAGGGTTTTCAAGCCATATTCAAAAGTTCAGGCATTCTACATGTGTGGCTCCCACATAGTTATTGTAATAATTATCTTGGTTGGCATGAGAGCAACAGGGCTCATATTGTACTGTCTTACATAATAGATAAGAATTTAGCTGAAAATAAGACCAGAAAACCCGTTTCAGCTTTCAGTAAAGACTGATTGAAACAAACCCTCTTTGAAAAAAGGAAAAATCCTCTGTCAGGAAAAATGTCTGCCTCTCATCCATTCTTCACTGGTGCAGTGACGAGATCATCAGCGGCTTCGCCTGTGGCCACATCTGAAATGCTGATTTCATCAGGACAGAATCTTAATGAGCTGCTGAAGTCGGTGGAAAAGCAGGAGAGCGGTCGATATGAAAAGCTTCAGTTCAACATGATGTGTTCACCTTTTGAAATAAAATGTGCATATAATGAGGCTGTGTTTGAGAGCTGACACCTCGGAGACTTTGTAATGTAAATGTCACGCAGAAGGGCAACGGCAGAAGAAAAGGCCAATGTCTTTTAGCAATTATGAAAATTTAGATTAAGATTAACAATGTTTTCCTTCAGGATGGAAATCTGTTTGAGATCAGGGTTTCATCATAGTGAAAATGATTTGAGTTGGTGAGTTCTTCACTTGACATCTTTGAGATAAGGTTTTTCTAAAGCTTCACTTCTAAACAAATACACAAACCTCATATTGTGGTACTACTACTAGGGTAACTACTGAACCAGTTGTCAATCATGAAGTTTCACCAAGTTTTTATATCATCAAATCACTAATTGAAACAAAATTTACTTGAAAAAATTAACACTTGAATGTGCATCAGTGATAAAATGGCAGAAACCATCAGAGAAAAATGTTTGTATTTTCAAAACAGTCGTTGTAGTAGTTTCAATAAGTCATGTAAATCATACAGGAAATTAAAACACGCACATTTATGAAGTTGATGGTTTCCTCTTTATTTAGAGGTTAGGTGTACCTCTGTATTATGTGTATTATGTGTATTAATATACATTACTAGAGCTTAAACAACTGCTAAACCAGCAGTTAAACCAGGTTTACACAAAAACTATCCAACTCCTGTTAAACAACCCCAGAAAAACCCCAACCAGCTCATTAACCCACCATTTGTCCTGTGAGTACAGACGTTCTGCCTGATTTTAAAACCCCTCAGTGTTCTGAGATTAAAGCTCATCTGTTTGATGGAGCTCACAAACTGAGACACAACCACAGGAGTTAAACACCTCAAAATAAAGCTGTGCACAACCTGAATGACAAATGAGACTTGGCTGCAGAGGGTCGAGAACCCTGGTGAACTTTTCCCTCTCAGAGATTTGATCCTGTGAGAAGAAAAACAATAATTTGTTCACCTTGAAGTCAAAATATTTGTGGGGAAATGAAAAGAGGCTAGTTAACATTCAGAGTGGTGAAACTCCAGCCTCTGTGAATTCAAAGCAGCCTTTTTAAAATTCCTAATGAAGCAGGCGAATCAGTGGGGGCTGCCTACATGTGTCAGCAGCTGTCATGCACTGTGTGTATTAGATGATTAATTCTGGTTTGTTCTTAGTGTCGCAGTACACAGTGGGTCCTGTAGTCATGTAGACGCAAGGTCTTAATTTAACCAGCGCTGCCAACAGCACAACAGCTGATGTGCATATAATGAGACCGTGAAGCTGTTGACAAACACTAAACAACCTGTGATATAAACTGAAGGCAAAGGGCAGCAAATATTTTCAGAACTGAGAGAATTTATATTCTCAGGGTTTATTCACAAAGAGTAGATTAGTCTATAGAGTCAATCAGACTCAGGGCTGGTGCGGGGTGTTCCCGATTATCTGAAGTGTGAAGGGTTCGCAAAATAATCTTGATGTCACCGATTGTGTCGGAGCATCAAATATCAGCTCAGGCTCAACAAGTGTTTAATACGTTTCTGATCATTAGCTGGAGAGCTTTCAAGCTTTTTAATTTAATTTTGACCAGAAACTCAAGAGAAACGAGACATAAATAAAAAGTGAACACAAGCCTGCACGTGTCTGATGCAGCTCTGAAGCCACTATACGGAAACAAATGACTCGATGTTGGTATGACACCAACTTTTACTGTTGACTTTACTGACAGCTGACCAATTATTCATGAAGTCTGATATTTCAATCTGACAGGTTGATAGAGTTTAAGATTTGTTACCACTGCATAATTAACCCCAGAGGGACCATAACCTTTTATAATATATACAGTAGCTTTTGGCCAGTGGAGAAGACCATGAAATGTATTATACATTAGTTTTGTGCATCCAGAGCAAACAAGATGCTCCCCATCATTTATGATCTACTGAATTAAATATACAATCATGAAGTTAAAGTTAAACAAACGGCACAGAAATACAAACTAGAATGAAATTATCATGCAGTACATATACGTATTAATTGCTTATGTTTACAGTATTAAAACTTTACATGACACACTCTGCTCTCTGCCCACACATACTACTGTTGAAGTGAAAATATAAAAACGTCTCATTATTCAGTCAATAAAGTTGATGTATTGCTGCATCTACGTAAAACACATGTACTAGCAGATGCAGCCTTTACTTTTTATTCAGGGGCATCACACCCCTCTCTAAGTGTTTCCATGTGGTGTGAGCTCAGTTCTCCAGTGTGAGTTTGATGGGACTCTGCAGAGTGAAGAGGTTTCCTCCCTGAGTGAGAGTTAATTAATAATGTCATTGTATTTAATTCTGTAGAGGCTGAACGGAGATGCACACACACACATACACACACACACACACACACACACACACAGGTGAGAACAGAGACACAGTTTTCTGTGTCATAAACTGCAAATACGTGCAGGAAACAGAGTTGTGACTGGATTTTGTTTTCTGTTAACGTAATGAGGATTCACTCAGGTCGCAAATGCATCAATACCGAACACATCAGTAAATGTAGGCAGAAAATAGCACAACCCACATTCTCTGCAGTAAACTGTATAATTTCCTCTGAGCTGCCGAGCATTTCTCTCT